AGCCGCATTCATCAGGAGGTTGGATTGGCTGCTGTGCATCTCCTGCCCACTCAGGGTTAACGTAAGTGGGAGCAGCAGTGATGTGGCGCTCTTATGTAACACTGAGGGCAGAGCAGCCATCAAATATTCAGCAGGTCTTCCCTCGCGCTCAGTGAGGCGGCGGCGCCCCGAGCAGCTCGCTGTTGTTAGCAGTGCCTTCACAGCCTTCCCGATCTGCTGCGACTTTCTGGAATATCGGCGAGTTTGTTTGAGCTGCGTTTACGTCGGGGAACGAGGAGAACACTGAAGTTCAGGCTGCCTTTGTGACAGCAGGGCGGAGCTTACACAACACAAGCTCCACCCACCTTCGTAAGGGACAGCCAATCAGAAGAAAGTCTAAAAGAGGGAGGGGCTAAATCAGCCCAGAATCAGACAAAGAAGGATTATTATGAGCTGTGAATCATGAACAGATGCTGTGGTGGAGTCCAGCAACAACGTGGCAAACATGGCGGCATTGCAAAGCTGAGGCCAAGCGAGGCGTGCAGATGCCAGAAAGCAGCGGGTAACGCGACGCTGCGATCTGAAAACCTCCCTGCGCCTGGTGCTGCTGGAGCTTCCTGTTAAAAGGAGTTTTTCGTTCCCACTGTCACCAACGTGTTGCTTGCGTGGTCTGACTGTTGGGGCTCGTTTGTTGTTTCAGTTTCCACATCCTGGACACAAACACGTCCTCGTTTGCTGGAGATGAAAGCTGAGCTCATGGTGTCGTACAGGCTGAAGCACCTGGAGGTGACTGTTGATGTGGTTTTAAATAAAGCTGTACTCAGTTACTGCGTCACGCTGAGACTCGGTGAGCTGAAGCTCTGAGCAGGAAATTAGCTGCAGCAAAACAGGAAGTGCTACGCGTCCCTTTTTAAATGCTCAGCAGGAGGACTTTTTGTTGTGACTCAGAGAGACACGAATCTGCTTCCAGCTAACGGCGTGGATGAGTCCAGCTGACAGGAGACCATCGGGCTCCTTCACTCCATCATTACAAGATTCCAGTTTCCTCACTTTAACAAACAGCAGCTCCGAAACGCCTCGCTGATGTTTCGCTCTGCAGCGCCACCTACTGACAACAGGAAGTCAGCCTAAAGCGATGAGTGTTCCCTGAATGAAGCAGTGCTTCTTGTGAGCAACATGCAAGAGTGCAGGCATGACGCTGTCTACACGACAGCAGGGTGACCTCAGTCAACTCCCACCTGAGGCTCTCCTCCTCCTCTTGCGTCTCTACTAAAACATCTGCCATGAAAAATTGATGAAGGCCGTGAATAAAAGCCCCGTGGAAGAATCCAGCTCTGCAGCTCAACCTGCCTGAACCTCATCAATCATCTATGGATCCAGATGTTTCACCTGAGTTTCTGATCATCAATCAGCTCCGTCCTCAGGTCTCCCGGCTGGTGCAGGTACACTAACAGCAGCGCACCTGGGGCTCATTAGAGCAGCTCTGTGCTGCTCATCTGTCAGAGTCACAAACTAAATCCAGTCCTGTGGCTGCTGTTCAGCTGCTCTCCCAACCAGTCAGCTGACCGGCGGTCTGATGGACTAACGCCACCATGTTGGACCAGCCGGGGCAGAGCTGCAGTCGACACGTCGGACTCCCTGCAGAGGCTCTGTTTACTGTTCACACCGCCTTAATCACACACGATGTGATTTCTTTAAATGTGCAGGCCTCAGAGCAGAAACAACACAAGTGGAAAAACATTCGAGTTCATCAGATGAAAAACTCATCAGGCAGCTGATAATCACAGATATTCATCAATAATCAGGAGATGAACATCTGAACACGGCTGAGCTTCCAAACATGCGAGTCCCGTTTCTGCTCTTCAGATCAGATTACAGGCCCCCGGGCGAG